ATTTCTAAGAATTTGTTTAGTACTTATCTAGTCAAAAATCTTTCAAACAAAATTTGTAACATTCAGTTACTTAAACTTCCAAAGTGTTGCACATCTGAATCTCTCACACCAAACACATCTGATTTGATGTATATGGGGAGAGTGCATTTTCTTGGGCTTCATGTATAGAAAATTCAAAGTTTGAAGCCACATTTAAGACAAAGTTAGGTGTTCACACATCACTAGCAGAGACCTTATTCTGTGTTATGACATCATAGTACTGGCATGGAGTGGCAGAAAGATTTTTATGAATGCAGACTCTGAAGCTTGCTTAGTTATGAAGATGAACATACTCTATCATTTTACTCTGGTGGCATTACTAACACTAAATCATAGAAGGTTCAGCAAAATATGATAAAAACCTTCTACTTTGTTCTAGAACATGAAAATATTTAAAATACTGCAGTCTTCTGTTACATCCTATTGTAACAGTTTTTGGCACTAACTTATGCATGCTGTTGGATGCTGCTTTATCTTGTGTTTTGTTGGCCACACCTTTTAGAGTGTGGGTGCAGTTTATGGCCAACAGCTTCATTCACATAATTTAAAGTGAAGTTCGACTCACTTAGAGCATGGGGGATTCCACATGTCATGTCTTTTGTGCAGAAGTATTGAAACTCGTTCAGATTCTCATGGTTCAACAAGCTGTTGATTAACAGTGTCAACTTGTCAACACACAGTCAGACCCAGCTGGAAATCTGTGTGTTAGATCTTCCTTCCAGGCATGCTCATTGTTGGCCAAGAGACAACTTATTTTGCTGCCAGTCTTGAAATATGGATACTGCAGTGAGGTCCCCTTAAATGCTTCTTAAGTTGTTCTCTACCCGTTGTGAGACCCTTGTATTGACTGTGGTTGAGACTGCAAGAACAATCCTGTGACATGTTCAAAATTTAGAACTTCGTGCATTTAATGGATGAAAAGTTACATTGAAAGCTTCAGGGCGCTGGTCTGAATGTTTTGACAAAGCAGCTAGCTATGCCATTCAGCTGACAATAGCTTGAAGTTCTGAACACTGCTACACAACAATGCAAATTACAGTTATGCAACATGGGTAGCACTAACATAGCTATGACACAAGCAGGACATAACAGAGTTTAATCCAATGGCAGAACCTGGTTGTTCTGTAACTCATTTTCAAGGCACTAGTCTTTATAAAATATAAGGAGAGAAGTGCTGATATACTGCACTAGATTTCTCCACCATTCACACATGACCACTGACCAAGCACACAGGTTTCGTGTGGAAAGAATTGTTCCAAGTTTTGTAATTGGATGGCAAATAAGTAAACAATGATTTGTGAAAATCTTTAAGTATGTTGAAAATGGTATAAATAAGATTCACAGTATGTGTTCCCAGAATATCTGGTGTGGTATCTTAATTCAGATGGCACCAAAATTCATTTTAGCACCTTGGAGTTCACTTTCTTCAGTTCATTTGTGGTCTGTACCTGGGTATGTCATCCACAAGATACATCCAAATCAAGCCTTGAAATTTCTCTCTCACGAGGAAATGTGTGTCGTTAGGATTGGTAACAGTCAGCATGTCTGTTTGATCAGTGTATTATGAGTAAAATTAACATTATTGTAGACTCCTGCTTGGCTAGGCACTTAGCATGATATGTCATTGTGTATCTTAGTCAGGCGTCTGTCAGAACCCGGTGTTGCAAGTATATTTATTTAACCTTGATGTATTTAACCCCAAAACTTTTCAAGGTCATATCATTCCCATCACTATTCTGCCACAATACTTTGAAGGTGTATAAGCAAATAGAAGCCTTACAGCAATGTAAGGAATGTTTGCATCTCTAAGATTGTGTTTAGCACTAGGCACACAGAGGCTCACAAAGTGTTGTGTGCTGCATGCAGTGAGGTGGTTGAGGTCTTGAAAACATGTAATCATTTCACCAAACTAAGTTAATGATGTCTGAAGCTCAAGCTGCCAGCTGAGAACGTGTGTGTGTATGCACTAACTTACAAATTAAGAGTGACTCTCACAGTGGACTTATTCTGAAGTGTCTACATGAGAATCGTGTCAAAACATGGGAGGCCATTACTAAAATTGGTCGGTCTGGCATTACTTTTCAAAGAAATAAATTAATCATTTATTTCCATGGATGAATGAACTTCTGTTTAATCACCATGTAATTTCACTATTGTAGAGCTGAGGTCTTTACCATCTTTCCAACAGTGGCATGCCAAAGGGTAAACACCCAGTGTCTTTGTTGAAGGAAAAAAAAACTGGCTTTTGTGATGCTTCCGGATGTATTGAAAAAGAGGAGAATGATATTATGAGTGGTAGAGTGTAGGGATATGGATTTGTGGGCAGAAAAATAATGAACAATTTTGGTACCATATCCTCATGAATAAGCTGTTTCTTTTGTGTCATACCAGAATATCCATCATGGTCAAAAACTGGTTAAATTTAGTTCATCACGATTGGAGCCATTACAAATGTTGGTATTCTTGATTCATCTGAGATTATGTTCCCTGTGGGACAGTGACTGTTATGATTGCCTGTCCGGTTTTCAGTGGGGTCATCCCCCTTAATGACTTAAATGAAATGAACACATAATAGGGAGGCCATGCCTGTCTGCATGCTTTAGCTCCAAAACCACCCAACAGATTTTGATAAAACATGGTATGCAGGGCCTGTATTAATGGTTACCTGTATATTTCATTTTATATCATATTGGTTCATTTAAGCCCTACTATTTTTCATGAACCATAAATACGTGTGCGATTGTCGATGACAACCACATAAATCTGTAACAGTTGTAATACTTGTATATTAAATTGTATAAATTGAATGTACAGAATAGCTGCGAAGCTATGTGGAATGTCAAAAGGTGGCTGGCCCTGAAAAGGGCGATTTGTTCCACTGTGAGTGCACTGGTAGAATTTGCTCCTTTGTAGTAGACTGTCTTTGGCGCATTGAACAGCTCATGACTCTGATGATGGATCGCTCTGAACTGAATGTGATCACTGATGATTGCAAGCTTTGGGCTCCGCCTTTTATACCATGCTTTATGGGCGGAGTGAATCTTGCAGTTTCGATTGTGAGTGCTGATTGGCTAGCGCACATGATGATGCAAAGGTGGGCTGGACAGCGAGTACTGTATAAATATGAGTGGTGGTAGCAATGTGATGTTGGCTAGGAGTTGAGTGCTGTCTGTTAGTCCTGCGAAACCGCATGTTAGTATGTGGGATGTTCCCACATACCTATAACATTAACAAATCCCTCAGCAATCACTGATCACACGACCACTGGTACATAAATCTAGTTATGAAATATAGATGTCATTAATATCTTTAACTTTTGATTGAAACGCTTTTCAGTATTTTATGTATGGAATGAAATGCAAGGTAAATATCATTATATGTCTGTGGTGTGTAGTTTCTTCGCTCTGAACTGACTCTGAGAACAGATTGATTTTCATTTGCAATAAGTGAACATCTGGAGTATGACATGAGTCCAGTAGGTGAATTCATTGTTTATATCAACTTGTGTGAACTTGCCAAGCACTGACTGACTGAATCTTGGGTTATTCACTAACGTCATTTAAACAACAGAGTTTATAGTGTCAGATTAAGTGGGTAGAAAATTATGATCTTTAGTATAAAAAGATTTGGAAGGAAATGGTTATTGTTCTGTTACAATATATTGTCCTAACATCACATGGAGACACTGATGAATACAGATCAGGAGTATAATTGATACCACTACTCCAGCATGCTCTGCCAGCAGTCACTGCAATAAGATTTGGCAACATAGTCATTTTGAAACCAGTTAGTATGAAGTTATTTCTGTTTTTGATGTTAAATGTTCCATGGTGTGCATGTGATTTCCTATCTGTTTGCTCTGTGTTAATGCTATATGTGAATCTGTTGGCCAGCTGTACTGCATTTGTGCACTGCTTTATGTGTGTGTAACTGCTTGAAACATATTGAAGCTTGTGTCTCCTTCAGTTTTAGGAAAGACAGACCCTTTAGTATCTACGTTTATTTGCCCTTATTATATGAAGGGATTGATATGTGTTCACAAGCATATTTTTCAACCAGAGAATTAGAAAATGTTCAGTTCACAATTTTTAAACGAATAATTTAATTTTTTTTTTTGAAAGAGAATTTTGCCATTTTCCATTTCTATGTAATGCTGGAGCCTTTTGTGAAGAAAAATGTTGATGTATAGGAATACCATGTAAAAAGCATGACTGTGGAGTTGGATGGTGCTCATATAAACTTTCAAGAAACTGACAAACTCTTTAACCAGCAAGCTCAATACAGTTAATCCCAAAGTGCATCTTTGGGTGATCCCTTATCATTTCAATCCAAATCACTGTGATAAACCAGTCTCCCTAAAGTCCATTGTTATCCTCTCAGTAATTCTGTATCTCCAAAGTGACTTTATCCCAAGAGGTTTTGCCACAGAAACATTCAGTATGAATTTTTATTTAATCCAAGCTATGAGTCCTGTTTGTAATCTCCTTGATTTTTCTTTGTAAAGAATACTAGGTGACTTGTATAAATAACCAAGTTCATTATTATCAGTATATAATGTCCAAAACTACAAGCATTTCATCTCGATACAAGATTTTCCTTAAAATGGAAAACAGCATAGCATTTATCATTTCTGCATTGTAACCATGTCTGAATCTCACCCAGGAGAATGGATGCCCTAATGGATGTTCATTATTTCCCTGAGTCTTGCTAGCTATCTGAAAATAGACCATGACTGCCTTCAGACACACTTTCAAGATTTTGTTAATAATCATTCTGTAATTATATGCACAATAATTCATATACTAGACACAGGATTACTAAACACATCTTCTTAACAAAAAGGGCAGAGATCCTTGGATGTTGAAGGGTCTGTCAGCATTCTGCATGTGGTGGGTTGTACAAACTTTGTGTTTGTGACTGAGGTTCCATCTGTAATTACTATTTGTTGTGATTGTTACTAGAGCTACCTGGTAGGTCTAGTTCGCAGGACTCGATCGTCAACACAATCCTTTCCGTCTTGTGTGGTGTGCTGTGTCGTGACACTCCTCTCGGCCAAACATTTGGTAAGCTGTGGCACATAGGTTAAGATACCAGTGTATGGTATGGCTTGTTAGAAGCAGCATAGGATGGCCATTTTGTTTAGAATTATGAAGGTGAGGTGAAAGATGACATGAGATACAAATTGGGATGCAACTCTGAATTGTATGGCCATCTTAAATTCACACTAATATTGAAGGGGAAGTAAACAGGAGGAAAATAAATGTAATAATTTGCGTAACATAAAAAGCCCTTATTGAAGCATGGTGAGAGGTTCAGGTCTGAACAGGAAGAATATTTTATATAGTGTGTGAGGTGTGAACCATGTCATGTGCAGTAGCTCCTCACACATGTAACAGCTATATATGACTGTGTGTACTGAAATGTTAGCCTCACAACATGTAAAGTGGGTACAAGGCCCAGGGGTGCCCATACCCATAATAAGTGCAGTAGCTAAATCTTGTCAGTGAAACTTTCTCCACATTAAGGGAAGAATGCAGACAGGTTTTTGAGAATAGCATGGTTAGGAGAGATCTTCTTAGAAAAGTAATGCTAGACTGACCACTTTTAGTAATGTCCTGCCATGTTTTGACATGATTCTCATGTAGACACTTCAGAATGAGTCCACTGTGAGAGTCACTCTTAATCTGTAAGTAAGTGCATACATGTCTACAGAACTTTATTCAGAAATAATGGGATGGAACAGGCATCTTTTGGGGAACCTAGAGATAGATGTATGGGTAATGTTAAGATGAATCTAATAGAAATGGGGTGCGAAGGTAGGATTGGATTAGTGTGGTTCAGGAAAGATTATAGTGGCAGTTCTTGGGAACACAATAATGAGTTTTTTAGTCTCATGAAATCAGAAATTTGTTAACTAGCTGAGTGACATCAGGGGACTATTTTTGCCAGGAAGTTGATAAAATGAATGCATATATGGAGATTATGGATGTCTGCTGTGTATCACTGTGTGTCACCTTTAAAGAATACGTGATAATTTGAAATGAAATTTTGTATCATGGGGGTATATATAAAATTTTGTGTGTGGGTTACCACATTTCCTTTTCCTTCTATATGTGTTATTTAAAGAGACTTTCAGGGGTTAGGCTATGTAGCAATAATGAATGTTGATTTGGAAAGGATTTGGAAATAAGTGGGCATGGCCTAATCATGGTTCTATTGCTGAATTTGGTGGGGTGGGGGGGACTGAGTAAGACCACAGAAACCTTATTCAGGATAGCCAGTGTCCCAACCAAAATTCAAACCACTATGCCAGCACACTTCGTTTTGTATATATGGTCCTGCTGTAATCCCTGCTTTACTTCATTTCATCGTTTTTTTTTAAAAACTGGCTCACCAATAAAAGGCGGGTGACACAAAATGTTGCTTTATTTAAAGTATATCTTGATACGGGGAGTTTTTAACAACACAAGGAAAAGTAATTGATGTTCACATGTATTACAGTACAATCCACACTGATTAAAACACTGGTGCAATCAGATCATCAAATCATTCGGAATATTGATTTAAAAAAAGTTGAATTTTTTAGTAAGTTTAGTTTTTCAAAAGATTTATTGTACATTTTATGCACGAACAGCAATCAGAACTCTTTGGATGTTAGACTGTACACCAGGCTTGCCATCCCTGGAGAGGTAGGTCCATCAGTACATAATGTAATGCTTCACACAAATTTAGTTTTGCTTCAAGGAAGGAAAATAATTATATTAAATTTGTAATTTTTGGGTAAATCAGTTCGGGTTAATGTGTGTTCAGATTACCAAGGTTCCAATATATCATGTATACATTCTGTGACCAATAGATTTGTATTGAGAGATTCAAACTTGCTCGAAACATATTTGGAATATGAGAATGCAGCTTAAGACATTTGTTTATATTCAGTAGTACAGAACCCTGGTATGTATATCACATGCTTTGATTGCTTAAATAGTGTAAGACTGCCATTTCAATGATGTTTTTGCTGCCAAAGCATCCAGTCTGGAGAAGGCTTCTGTTTGTGAGTGTGTCAAACTGGATGTTTATATTAATACACACACACACACACACACACAGGTACTGTTCTATTAAAGCTGCCCCATGTAAACCACTGTTGCAGAAATGCCCTCAGATTTGAGAGGGCTACCCCTACTTTGTAGGAGGAGAGTTGTGGTAATCAGACAGCTTTGAGCCAGGCTCAAAGGATTCAGTGTGGCATTTAAACATATCGGACAATAGGACATTTTTTTAATTTGAGTGAACTGCTAGAATGCTATATAAATTCCTATGTCTTATGGCTTGAAGATATATCAGGACAGCATATTAGCGGGCTGAAGTGTGCCTAGTGCAAAGTGACCTTCTTCAGAATCTCACCACTCATTGTAAAGCTAATGTGCTTTGGCTGTTTTGTCAAGCAGTGCCTCTTGCTGATTTGGAATACTGTTTAGATTATTTTCTAGATAAGTCAGCAGTAGTGGGAGGATCAGTGGGTCATTTTGGTGCTCCAGTGCTGTGCTGTCCTGTGCACAGTATGGATAGTTGAGCATGTGTTGCATGAAAATATGTAATTCTGAGATTTTCATTTATCATAAGCATTGAATTAAACGTGATAAATTATACCATAACCATAAATGCAGGGGACCTGAAAGACATTTAGGACCTTTGAAAAGTGAGAAAATTAGGCATATATGAATGGAAGATGAGCAAATACTTTCTTTTAGTATGCTGTTCGCTTGTTCCACACTGTTGTTTTGTATGGTAAGTACTTGTGAATTTATGTTTTAAGTATTTGCAATAATGTTCCCAAATTCATCCCCTAAAATCTGGAATCATCTTATATTCCAGAAAATGAGGCAAGTACTCAAACTGAGTCCATATTGCATCATATGTCATCACAGCATTCCAGATCGTTAAGTGGTTCATACATTCTTTTTGGCACTAAGATTCTCTTAAGAAAGCTGGGTTTGCATTATATTTTGATGTATTAAATTTGGCTCAATACAGTACACAGTGTTGTTCATGGAATGCTTCGTTTTGAAGTTTTCCAGTGTTCCCATGAACAGGGCATGGGACTGTGTTATGTGTCTGCCCACTGATTAAAAGAAGGAAAATGAAATTTACAATGTTTCATCCAGCTTGTATAAGCATATATAAATGTTCACTGTGTACCATTACACAAACTTTGTATGTGTAAGATATAACCAGTTCCAGGATATGTTTCAAGTCATAGAAAGGACATAAATCGTAGCCTGAAAAATAAGAATTCCACAGTAAGAACCTTTCTGCTATCCCCACATGTTTGAAGAGCTGAAAATACTGACTAGTATGGCTATCTACTGCAATAAGTAGGTTCTAAAGGTTCCTGATGATGGTGTATAATACTTAGGATTACTGGGTTTTTGGACTTCGTCCATTGCCCAGAATCATACAGAACACAACATTTTGGTAACTGGATCTGTTTCCATCCTCAGATGAGGGTTTGGGAGACACCTGCTCTATTGGGTCTGTTAGAAAAAGTTAACCTCAATCAGTGGTCCAGTGAGGACTGTACATATTTTCTGAAAGCCTGTTAACCAAATCAGGGGGTTCATGATACAAGTGATGATATCTTAGAATCAAGGAAATACTATATATTATGATACTTTCATTATTTTAATGTATGATTTTGTATGCGTCTATGTATTGGCAAGTAATTCCTTTAATATTTTCATTTTATACAGATGAAAGATGGATTGAACTAGAAACAGAATTAAAAATTAGTTAATAATCTTTACTGAGAGCAGGGATAGCGTAGTTCGTATAGCGATTGGCAGCAGGCTGGAAGACCAAGGGCTCAGGGTTTGAGTCCTTGTAGAGTAAAGAATTTTCACTTGTCCCCGGCGTCCAGATCAGCTCTGGGGTCCACCCAACCTCCTGTCCAATGGGTACTGGGGTCTCTTTCCCGGGTGTAAAGCGGCCAGAACATGAAGCTGACCGCTCACCTCCAGCTAGTGCCGAAGTCAAGAAAATTTGTATCTGTACATCCACTCCCCCATATGCCTTCATGGTGTAGCGCTTAATTAGTTAAACACAGGGACAACTTTACCTTTTTAATAGTCTTTACTGAATTATACTCTTTACAGTTTTGGGTGGTTTTTATATGATATGTGTAATTTCCATCTGATGATGGTTATTTAGTGACTGAAACTGACTGTGGAACAGACTGTGTCGTAGAGAATTATTGTTTTTGTGATGGTATGGAATGACCATTTATATGGTCCTTATCATTTGAAATGCCTGTATCCTTTTATTGGTGTAATGGATAAATATTTCCACAACAAATCAAGTCCATATAGCAAAATTGCAGAACCAAATAATACAAGGGAGCGCAAGTAAATAGGTCACAAATGGATATAACATGTAGAACATGTGATATTCAAACCTGGAAAACAACTCCCGACATATCCTCCACCAACACTGATACACTTGTCCCATCACTTTACCAGTGCTTCAAAACCCGCATCATAAAAGTCTTTTGACTCTTGTCTGAACCACTGCTGCACCCCTGTCTCAAAGTCTTCATCATCAGCAAAATGTCTGCCACCAAGGTGGTTTTTAGTGGACTAAACAGATGGAAGTTACTGGGGGCCACATCTGGGCTGTAAGACAGGTGTTCATGAAATTCCGACTGTAGATCTTGAATTTTCTCCTGGGTTGCTTGGGCTGCATGGGGTCTGGCATTGTCATGATGAAGCAGCACCCCTCTTGCCAATTGGTCTGGATGTTTTCTGCGAATTGCATCTGAAAGCTTGAACAGAACTTCACAGTACTTGTATGATGCAGAAATGATATTTTCACCATGCTTCTGAAAATGGGATAACAGTACTCCCTGAGAATCCCAAAACACGGCAAGCATAACCTTCCCAGCTGATTGCTTAGCCTTAGCCTTATACTTGGAACTTTTTGATTGAAAGAGAACTGAGATGTTTCCATCACACTGAAGCACGCTTTGATTCGGCTTGATAGTGAAGCACCCATGATTTGTTCCCAGTAACAATCCTGTTAAGCATACTCATATCTTCTCCTTCATCTGCATACCATGAGAGATGTTGTGAGGACAGACCAATTCGGTTAGTTTTTTCTTGATCCTTCAGTTCTCTGGGCACTCACTGTGCACACATTTTACAAAACTTCAATTTATTATGCATTATGATGTATGATAAACCCTGGAATTATCCTATTGTAGAAAACACTGTCTGTTGTTATCCTCCTGTCAGCTCAATACAACTCTTCCACCTTCTGCACAGTTGCATCTGTCACAGTCTTAAGAGGTCTACTTGGTCGGGCATTATCTGTGACTTTTGAACATCCTTGAGAGACTACCTTGACTCAGATGTGAACTGCTTTGCGCAACATACACTATGCGCCGTAAACAGGAAGCATTTCTGTATGAATATCCTTTGCGCTGAGTCCTTTTTCCCACAAAGACAGCAGAACACTGCTTTTCGATGACATAATCCTAAAGCACGTTGTCATCTTGACTACTGAAACCAGCCTCTGAACATGCGCATGTGTGTCTGCTACATAGACTGCCATGAGGCTGGACTGTGCTGTTACCCAGTGATACCTATAGAAAACCTACTGCATCCATTACAGCTGTTTTACTTCTGTTTGTGACCTATTTTCTGACTCTTCCTCTCAGTTTGACTACCACAGCTGTTTCCTCTGTCACTAAATAATGCTGTTACTCATGCTTCTGTAGAATTTTGTGCTCTTGAGAGTATACAGACTGGTAGGTTAGGTGACTAGGATATTGTATGTGTATATACTACCACAGTCAATAAGTTCGTGGAATGGCTGCAAAGCCAATTTCCTGTCAGTATGTTTGAGCAATGTTTTTGGCAGCTATATAGCGTTGACAGACTTACATAGTGGCCAACGGCAATTATTTTGAGGGTCGATGTGGATCTGTGTAAGTGTATATGAATACCTTGTGATATGATGCGATAAAACGACATTCCATGAACTTAATGACTCTACCATGTGTAGTAGTCATACAGCAGTCCAAAAGTTGGGCAAGCAATTTCATTTGATTAACAGTGTTTTATTATTGCTACAGTGGAAATCCATCAGTTTGAATAGTCCAGTTATTTTATAGTGGCTGCTGATTTTCAGCTGTTCTAAAAACTTCGTCAAGTCCACTCCTACAAACTTACCTCCCTTGGATAGCATGGGTCAGTTTGCAGATAACCACATACGAGAGAGCTGAGCATGGTGATGCCAGTGACAAAGCAGTGGCCAGTCAGAAGTCTAGCAATGCACTATTAAAAATTGCATCATACTACTTCAGTAAATCACATTGTAATTGGAGGTTTTTAATATATGCCATACCTGTGTCATGCTATCATTACCACTCTTACATCTCCTTCACCCTTATGCAGGCCAGAGGTTTTCATAGAATAACAGAGCTGTATGCAACACCATACATCTGTTTCTTTTGCTTCAGTTGCCTTTATGTTTACTTTGGGTTCATGTTACAAACAATCTGTGATATGTAGAAAGAATGAATGAATGAATGAATGAATGAATGAGTGAGGGGTGGGCCATAATATTCTGGACCTTGCACTGTGACCATTAATGATCTGTGCTTCCCCTTTGATTATCCCTTTATTAATCCTACACTTTGAACGAAATGTAGGACTTTGTTTATGGGGGCATCATAGTAGTCACTTGGTTCTATAAAGGACTGGCCGAGGTGGCAAATCTGATATAGGGTATGGCCTCACAGTCACATAGGATATGTGTGGCTGATTCATTGTCTTCTAGGCACGTTTCATAAGTGGGGTCATCTGTCTATCCCATTTTGAAAAGTCCTTTTAGGTGACAGTGTCCTGTGAGTAGTTCTACCACCCATCTTAATTGGTCTTAACTTCAACAGATATTTCCTTCTTCTGACAGAGGTCCCTGGTACAAGTCCCTTTTGCCTGTTTGAGTCCAGTTGTGGATTCCAAATGTTTTTTTTTGTGATTTCTGTTCATCTAGTCCCTGACTGCTTTCATGGCAACTCCAATTGAAATGCTGCAAGCTGGTTCAAGTCCCATGAATGGATGTTTAGATCCTGTTCTTGCCAGCTGATCTGCCATTTTTACCAACAATACCCTTATGATCTTGCGCCCATATTAGTTGAATATATATGTTTGGCCACTTGTATGAGGCATTGGTGGCAGTCCTGGACCAGTTTTTAGGTGATCTGGTGTTTACCAAGTTCTTTAATTGCAGCTTCACTGTCTGACAGAATATAGATGTTCCTATTTTTATAGTTTGTATCTAGATTCTCAACTGGGCATGCCTTAGTAGCTTACATTTGTTCCTGAAATACTGTTGTGTACTGTTCAAGGCTAAGCTAAGTTTCCGCCTTGTCCCATAGCAATACACCCTAGCTGCAGTGCCTCTTTTTTTGTCTTTGAACCATTTGTATACCAGATTGGTTCCCCCTTTCTGTTGGGATGAAACCCCTTTTTCCATTCAATACTATCAGGGAATCTTTATCATAGACATATCTCGGTATCATTTTATTAAACTCCCATCTGTAGGATTGATTCCTTTTTCATGTCCTGAGTCATGTATGCATGTCCAGAACCTTCAGATTTGGGTTTCCATTGACCATTGCAACATAGTCTGTAATTTCATACCTTGGCCTCAGCTTCCACTTGCAGGTGTAGTGGGAGGAGTCTAAGGAGGACTTCTGTTGTGGTTGTTTGAGCTGTTCTCATTGCTTCTATAATTGTGGTATGAAGAAAATGAACTGTAGATCATTTATTGACTCCATACCTACCACACGTATTTGCTTTTAACCAAATTATGAGTTATTATGTAATGTCATGTGAAAATTATGGGGAAGGAAGTGGTTGCAGCTTGTTTCAAACAAAACTTTGTAAAAAAACCCCAGGCAGAATAAAATGTGACCCTGCTAAGGCTCAGCCATGTCTGTGAGTGTACAGTTCAGTGCTGATTTAACAAGGTAAACGAAGAACAAAGGTGTAGCAACTAATGAAAAGGAGAAAAGGTTAGGGCATCATACTTGTAATGAAATGACACATGGAGGCAGCGTAGTTTGTGAAAGTTCTGTCATCATGTTGAATTATATATGTTATTGCTAACAAGGTGTAATTGATGATGTAGTTTGAATTCCTTGATCTTGTTAGGTAGTTAAGTCAGTCAAACTCAGATGTATCACGTATGGGTGGAAAGAACAGCAGTGTACAAAATTTTGATTCAAAAACCTTTTGGAGACCACTTGGGAAACTGAACAGTAGATTGGAAAAGAATATTAAAATGCATCCTAAGGAAATGAGCTGTGAAAATTAGTCAGCTCAAGATTAAGTCTAATGGCAGGCTTTTGTGAACATGATGTTGAACCTTTAAGTGTCATCCTAACTAAAGATGTTTTAAGCAGTTGAATAAGTGTGAAATGCTGAAGGAAGACCCTCTTCTGTTTAGCCAGTTGGTTGGAATATTTATGTTGCTGGTCAACAGTTCAGTCAATTTGTCCACAAAATGTGGAGTTCTATGCTAATCTTTTTCCCATGGTCCCTTTAATTTCATGCAACCATATAGACTGTATAAATATGCCCCTTTAGCTTTTTGATGTCTCTCTCTCTGCATATAAACATGAGAACCACAGAATATATTTTCATGACATATGATATTGGAGTTCTATTAAACTTTGTTAACCTGTTTCATTTGTTTTTAAAATCAGACAATAACCGATACTTTACACACATTTCTGAGCTCATCATGAACATAACTTGTGAAGTGTTTTATTGGAGTGAAACATTTTCGAGAAATTACATTTTCTCCAGAAGTGTTGTGTGTTTTATGATAATTAAATGAAAGGAAGAAATATTGCAGGGTTGTTATACTATGCATACATTTTCTAACTTGTTCAAGTTTCTCTCAGTATTTATCAGATAGTGCAGCAGCATGCACTTTCATACAACTGAAATATTGTATTATTTTGCATGAATATTGCTAAATTTATTCATATGCATATATGTATTTAATGCAAAATGTATGTCCTGAGAATTATGATCAAAGCTTGTCTCAGGAAGTGTCATACCGAATGTATTTGCAGGTGAAGTCACACATCTCAGGCAGTGTTAACTTTCTGTAAATATGCATAAATGTCATAAAAAGTTGTACATTCAGATTATTGTCATTTCTCCTACTTTTACACAATATAATATTTTTTTTCTGTTGCCTGAACAGAAACGAAGAAAGAAGGCTTCTCGAAGGATGTGTGCCGAAGTATGGTTGCCATGATGGATGTGGACCGGTCTGGCAAACTTGGCTTTGAGGAATTTAAAGCCCTATGGGTTGACATTCGGCACTGGAAGGTAAAATCACAAGCAAGAAAATTTCAGGTTCCTCTATTTTGAAATAACAGTGACCAGAATACAAGTCAGGCCCCGTAATTGTGTTTTATGTTGAAGGTTTGATTTGGGCCCTCGTTTTATGATAAATGATTAAATTTTGTCATAAAAGATGCAGCAAAATTAGGAATATACAATAATCTAAGCCTGCAACTTCATTGTTTGAATATTAGACTGGAAACAAACAAGCAAGAAGAGAGTTCATAGGTATGCAAAACAAAGGTGACTGTGACGTCTGCAGCCAATTAATTCCATCATTTATTTTTTCTTTGTTTTCTTCAGGTTTTCCCAATTACATAGATGCACCATTTTCATACCCTACAATGACCTCATACTGTTGACAATATTTCAGGCCGTGTTCAAGTTATACGACAAAGATGACTCTGGCTGTCTGAGTGCCTTTGAGCTACGTCAGGCCCTTAACTCAGCTGGATATCGCCTTAACAACCACATTCTCAACATCCTTGCACATCGTTATAGTACCAAGAATGGCATGATCACATTTGATGACTTCATGATGTGTGCTGTCAGGCTGAAGACCATGATTGGTGAGTTGAGCCTGGTCTGTACTGGATAATAGACAGGCTGAAAAACCATATGCATGATTATTTTATTTTCTAAACCCTAAACCAGGAGAAAAAGTGTTCAATTTTACTTGTATCCACTTATAAAGTAACTGACTTTGTAACACTGGCTGGTGATGTTTCTAATTCGTAAATTGGGGGGGGGGTGAGCAAGAGCTAAGTGCATATTTTTATCCATCTGTTTAAAAATACTAATGAAATTGTTTAGTTATAACAGTTATCTCACAGTGATTAAAAGGTGTATTAAGAAGGAATGCCTTTGTTACTGTAAGTTATGGGGGCACATGGCAGCATAGTTGGTTGAGGCACTATGCTACAAGCTGGAAGATCGTGGGTTCAAGTCCCGATGAAGTCACTGAATTTTTTTCAATTGACCTAATCCTTCCAGCCGCACTATGGCCCTGGGGTCGACTCAGCCTCTAACAGAACTGAGTAAAGTAAAAAGTAAAGCTATCCCTGTAACAGGCCGTGAAGGCCCATATGGTTGTGAGACATAGATGGTCCCACATTATCTAGACAGTTGGCTGAAAGATGGCAGTAAGGTTGTCAGTCTTACGTGCCGGCTGCACTTTACTCCCCAGGAAAATTATTTAGTTAATTCCTGGTACTCATTTCTGTTAGAGGCTGAGTCAACCCCAGGGCCCTAGTGCAGCTGGAAGGATTAGGTCAGTTGAAAAAATCCAATGACTTCATCGGGACTTGAACCCGCAACCTTCTGGCTTGTAGCATAGTGCCTCAACCAACTATGCTACCGCATGCCCCAACAGAAATGAGTACTTGGAATTAATTAAATAGTATTCCTGGGGAGTAAAACATGGCTGGTGTGTAAGGTTGACCACCTTACCACCATCTTTGAACCAATTGTCTTAGATAATGTGTGACCCTCAACATCTCACAGACCTATGGGCCTTCACGGCCTGTTACAGGGATAGCTTTACTTTTTTACTTTACTGTAAGTTATAAAAAGAATTTCAGAGAACAGAAATATTTATTCTTGTTCCTCTATTCAGAAAAGAAAAAAAATATGAAAGTGTCAGGATTTGTAATATTGGCCACAGTTTGCTTCAAAATAATGTTCACAAAACATTTCTCTTATAAACAGCAGAATCTGAGGCAACAAATTTAAAAACAAAACTTTAAATTCACAAGTGTGCTTCAAGAATGGAAGTTTCGAGGTTTGGTGCAGGCTAATTGCAATTTTGGTGTAATTAGTTTTTATATTCATGGAGCTCTGTAACACCTGAACAGAAGTGAGACTTTGAAAAATAAAACTGTTTATTTTTAACAACATGAAAACAAATGTTGTGATATCAGGTGGTTGAAATATGTTGTAACACATTTAATAAATGGAAATTTGTGCATTTTCTTCCCCTTAATTTATTACCATCAAACAAGATGTTAGTTTGGGTGTATCTAGGCCTTTATTTACACTATAGTTATAGTTAGTGTTATACTGAATATGTCACTTAGATGGGGGATAAAAATCTTGTTGGGAGGCAACCACAAAGAGGACTGGAAAGGAGATGAAATAGTTGTAGATTGTAAGGATGGGTCCTGATTTCAAGTGACAGGATACAATGTTTAATGTTTTAAACAAAAATTTCCTCCTGTGTTACAGATATCTTCCGTGAGAAAGATACTGACAACACCAACACAGCGACATTCACAATGGAGGAATGGGTGGAGAAAACACTGTACTCATAAAGTGTTATGATGGGCCTGCCATATTCTAGTAATCACTAATTCCATGTAGAGACAGATAAGATATGTGCTGTAGGATATATTATGTGTTAAACAGAAGCAAATGAATTTAAGTTGCTAAGTTGCCTAACCTCTGAAGTCACAAAGGTCCCCAGTTCATGTTACAGTTATATTTAATTTTTTTTTTCTGCTGATACATTATCATCATTGCCAGAAGTTCTGAGTTGACAGTCACCCTAGTAAATGCTGGCTGGTAAATATAAAAATTAATAATTGGTGAGAATATGAAATTAGGAAATTACTGCTCTTGGAATTTATTACTTTTTTGTAAATTCGAACAAATACTAAACATTTAACAGATCATAAGTACATTATAGAAATACTATCATTAGACAGACCCCATGCAGTCATCCTGCATCTACAATTTATAGACTGAACCCTCACAGAATATGCAGCTAGAGAGTTGTTATGACTGAATGAAGTTGGGTTCTGGGAGTACAGCAGATTGAAAGTACAACAGCTCAGTCAGGCTTTGACTACAGTGTGCAGAATGTCTGTGGAAAGTTTCCCAGTCTCCTGTTCAGCAGGTATCAAATGTGAAACTAACTAACGGAGCGGAGCCCTTCTTGAGAAGCTGCCAATTGTGCAGCTACCCGAGAATTTCCCATCATTTTATGGAACATGAAGGTTCATTATCGTGTTCACAAGAGCCCTGTACTTGTCCCTATCCAGAGCCAGATCAGTCCAATCCATACCATCTGATCCTGTCTCTCTGAGATTCATCTACACCTTGGTCTTCCTAAGTGGTCTCTTTCCTTCTGTCTTTCCCACCAGTATCTTATGTGCATTCCTCTTCTCCCCCATTCAGGAAATATGACCTGTCCAAGTTATGAAGCTCCTTATTATGCAGTTTTCTCCAACCTCCAAAAGGTATACTTTTCAACTTTGCAGTAGAAGTTTCAGCCTCAAAAGGGCTAGGATCAGATACTAATGGCTCAGCTATATGTATTTCTATCTCCCTAACATCACTGATCCTATGTACATTCAGTAACTGAGAGAGATAGTTCTTCCACCTGTTCAAAATATTGTGCAAATCTGCAAGCAGATCACAATTCTCATCCATCACTAAGTTATTTCTAAGTTGGCAACCCTCTTAAAGTCATTTATTCCTCTATAGAGGTCTGCAATGTTCTTGTTCTTACTGTTTATTGTAAGCTTATTAATTTTCTTTCAAATATTCCTTCCTCATATTCCTGAAATGCCTTCTGGTTTAACGTCTTATATTGGTCATATTATCCCTATTTATTTTGCTTGGATCCTGTAACCATTGCAATTTGTCTTACTTTATTATATTTAAGCATCCTGTTGCACTCACACAATATATATGAGACAAACTCCGTCTTAAGTGCAACAATTTTATTGTAGACTACAATAAAATTGTTGCACTTAAGACGGAGTTTGTCTCATATATATTGTGTGAGTGCAACAGGATGCTTAAATATAATAAAGTAAGACAAATTGCAATGGTTACAGGATCCAAGCAAAATAAATAGGGATAATATGACCAATATNTATTTTTATATTTCTTTAGCCTGGGTCGTTTATTCAGAGGATCTGCCCAGGTCCGAGGCTTTGTGTGCATTTTCGTAACAAGCTTATTTTTTATGGTGAGGAGTTGTTAGCCCCATGCTCAACCCACAAGCTTAAGGACCACACCTTGTTGGCTGTCTGTGACTGCTTATTCAGCATATTGATAGCTTCCCTCCATACCCAGAGGGCGCCTCCTCCATCCACAACCTGAGGACACCATGCTGTGGTAACAAGGGACCCACTTAACATGGGGTGAAACTAACTACTTATTTTAAAAGTGCATGGGCCATGTGTTTATTTTGTATCTTTCTCTGATGCAAGAGCAGGCAACAGGAGAGTCAAGAAAATAATGCGCTTTTGAAGTTTGCAAATGGTCAGTAATTAACTTCATGATGTGAATTTGCATTTATTCTCTGGTCTGAATTTTGTGTACATGTTTGATTGTTAAACATATGAAGCAAATGTTGAAACATATTCCTCTGTGACATACATAATATATGTTGGAGCTTAAGAAACAGTCCACTCTTCACTGATTCCAATATATAAAACAAGATCGACTGATGATGAGGTTCAGCTGTTTGATCAGAATGAGAACTCTTGACAGAAATATAGAGAAAGTGGGCTGTCAGAATTATGAAATGTTAATGAAGTTTGTTGATGCTGCAAATTAATGATTATTATGAGAAGCATGGTGGATAAGCTACCTCGTAGGCTTATGTGCCTGCTACTATTTGACATCCTTCCAACTATTGTTAGAATTTGTAAGTTTTTGTGGATAACATGTTTTCAAGATCTGTAAAATTTAATTTCTCCAGTTACTGTGAAGGAAGGGACCATGGTGAGAGCACCAGTTCTTCCCTCAGTCAGTATTGCAAGGTAGTCCTCCAAAGTGGCACCATCAGCTACAGAAACAGAATGCCTCATATTGTAGATTCCCATCTGTTGACATTTCAGCTGTTTGTATTCCACTTCTTTTTGCCTTCTTTCTTGCTATTTTTTTTTTTGTATTTACTTCATGTTCCATACTGCAAATATATGTTTAACTGTATAAACAAGGTTATTTCTTTCTGTATGTGAATTTTAATTCGTTTCTTATATTTCTTTGTCCTGCTATGCATGGTAAAATCCAGAGAATTGCCTATCCTACCTCAGTTGGTCACCATGTCAGCATTAGTTTTGATTGCATGTTCCATGGATAAGTTGTGGTGTCCTTTTAAAATAATTTTAATTCACTGTATGTGAGCAGGGAATTTGAATGTCATATCTTACACATACAGTTTTTTTCACATAGTGTTCTATGCCTCTGCCAGCTATTTTATTCACCTTAATGCTTACTATAATCTTTTGTTATTCTGTGATGTAAATTAGAGGGGCTGTTTAAGTGGAATTATATATATGAGTGTCTGTAGATAACAGAGATACTACAAAATGTTTTCAAAGTAGTCTGAGTCCAGATGCTTATAAGTAATGTACTTCTTTACAGTTAATATTTCTTGAGCAACGCTAAATCTCCATTGAGAGAAACATTACCAGTGTAAAAATATAAATTATTTAAAAAACTCAGTAGTTTTCAAATGAAGGCATGAAATTTGATACCTTTGTGTGGGTTTCTTTAAAGTACATAGATACTTTATATTGTTGTGGATCTATTATTAGTTTTGTCTTTATATTTTCCTTTGTCACATATGATTTATACAGTGTTTCTTATTCTGTGAATAATATATGATTTTATGTTTATTAGTGTAACACTGCATTATAGTGTATCTATTTTGCTAATTAATATGTTATGTTAACTGTGTTGATTTTTATTATTAACATTTCAGGTTAACTTTGGCTGTATTGCAGTATCAGCCTAATTTTGTTTGCATTTCTTACATTTGTTTGTTAGCATAAAGCGTGTCTTGTGAGTAGAAAACTCCTAGCTATTCATCTAGCATCTAGAATTTTGATGCAACTGGAAGAATATTTTAAGAATGTTACTTTTTTTATATAGTCATACAAAAATAAATTTGTAATGTACATATGCCATGTGGTAGTTCTTTTAAACTCCACTAGAACTGCTACAAATTCTTGTCCCTCCCACAGGTGCAATTACAAAAAGGGTTAGTTGAATATATGATTATCATACAATATTTGTATCTGAACTCTTTTACGCATCAGTTTACTTTTCCACCTATGAAAACTCCCATGCATGAAGTAAAACAAAAACTTGCTCTTTTGACTGTGCATTGCCTTTCTGTAAGAGTTTTCTCATACTACCAGGAGATTCATGTAACCGACAGATCCCACTCCCCATACATGCCAGATAATGGGGAATTTACGATATGTATAGATGTTACTGTAATGATGAGTGGTGTTATATGATGGTAGTTATTGGTCTCTGGATGGAGTGATGTGTTGTGATCACAATGGTAGCTGGGGGGGCAAAATGGTATGTGTATGGTGGAATCCACATTTCATGTTCCTTAATATCTTTATTAATGTTCAATGTTAATGATACCTAGGTCAGTAATACCATTGTTAAATTGCCTGCATTTAAGATTGTCCTTACTTCAGTGTTCAAACCGTTGCTCCCAAAAGAAATCTTACATAGGGCCTGTCAGTGACCATATAATAGGCTGAAATATGTAGCCATAATTATAAGTGCTGTATGTAAATTGTGGAACTTCATGTGTAGCACCGGTTGTGTAGTAAGTCATTTCATGGACTCTGAAGGTGAAAGCAACACATTTGATGCCAGACTGCATTGTGTCACGTTCCAGAAGACAGTAATCTATATAACCCTCTCCATGAGAACCTTAAATCTTGCTTGCTATGCTGACTCTATAGGTTATCATTACATTACTCATTACAGTTTGTATTTGCTTTGGTTGATGCCAAGTCCTTTTATACTTCTAAATTGGAAGTTTATGTTGGTGCACAATCTGAAGACCCATACAAAGTTTCAAAAAATACCTTCTGTTTTACAACAAAACCAAAGATGGGGTTGATGTAGTCGATGGAATGTCTGGGGTCAATGGGACCCCACCTTACCATTTTTCTCACATATTCCCACCTCACAAGCGCTGGGTTAAATTGCCCATGCACAATCAAGCACTGCCTGGTACAGTTTCAATACCACTTTGGTGTAGACAAATACTATAATCATCATCTTTTGTGCAACAAGTTAAAGAATTCATGCATATTTTTGTTTCATATAGAGCTTGACTAATTTTATGTTCTTTCTGTAGCCCCTCTGAAGTATATGTTTTTTGTGAATTATCCTTCAAAAAGCAGTGTCTCACTAATACCAGTAGCTTTCTCTGGGATGAGCATCATCATATTTTAGATGTGCTGGCTTGTTTGCACTTCAGGTTCATAAAATATAAATTTATTATGGTAAAGACTGAAACATTCAGAAATGTACAGTGAATTGTTTTGTGAAAGTTATGACTTAATGTGCATTCTTCTGTGAACTGTCCTGGGCTTCAAACAAGAAAGCAGGTTTTAGAAGCCTATAACGGTACACTTGAACTGAACTACTAATTTAGGAACATGATATTTATTGTAACTTTAGTGATGCAGAAATTGGTATCTCTTGATAAATAGGGAAATTATGACAAAGCATCTTGCATGTAAAAGAAGCACAGTTTTCTGAATGTTTGTAACTTTTGTCAGGTATCTAGAAGGATGTTCCCTGGACATGCCAGTTTCTGGAATTGCCATTATTGAGTCTGGCTCTTTGAAAGGAAATACCTGCTCTGAAACAAAGTTGTCTGTTCTAGCTGGGCAGTGTATTCTAATATGTACTTAAAAATAGTACTTTTGGACTATTCTAACCAAATTACTTGTAGATCTAAAATAATTTTGTTGCTTGTTTCATTCAATGTTTACCAAATCAAGGTTTAGGATAAAGTTAGGAAACATAATTAAAGCATGCTATGTATATATTGAGCTATAATGGA